CTCTTGCGCTCCCTCTACTGGGAATCGAGCCCGAAACCCAGGCATGTGCCCTGACCAGGAATAGAATTGGCAACCTTTCAGTGAGTGGGATGGTGCCCAACCAACTGAGCCACTCTGGCCAAGGCTCCTAAGTAGATTCTGAGAGCAGCAGTATTTCCCAACCTTTTTAAAATCCCAAGGCACATTTATTTGAATACAGTTCCTATAGAATAGGATATTACCTGGTACCTTAAGGCAAAAATGGAATCAAGGGAGAAAAGACTGGAGAAGCCACTATTCATATGAATTCTTCACCGTAGACCACTGTGTCTTGAAATCCTGACCAGGGAACACTACCAGAGAGAAAGAGATATAATGTTAAAAGTGGATGAAATGCAATAAACAATAAGGGGGGGGGGGAGAGAGAGAGAATGTAGAATGAAGAGCTAGGATATGTAGTTATATGTACCTTTTCTTTTGTGAGGGTCCCATTTATTGGGATTTTAAAGACAGCAGAATGAGAGAAAGGCAACCTTCTCCCCCGAAACATTCCATCCTCTTTGCCCAGAGGCCAGCACTCCAGGGTGGAGGTGAGGAAGGGAAGGGGTTACTTTATCCCAGGCAAGGAGCTGGGAAAGAAGGGGAGACATGCACTCTCATCTCTTGGCTCAATCCCTCTCCCCTGGGACACGGTGTTGCCCCCTGGAGTTGATTGGCAGACAGGACCCATGCAATAGTGAGTGGGCATGAGGCGGCATGGAAACCCAGTCTTGATGCCTATTGGCAGGGTGGGAGGGCTAGAAGGGCCATGCTAGCCACGAGGGTTCCAAATGGAAGTCTCTGCAGTGTACACACTGGAAGGCCAGAGCGGGACTTCCTCTGTCCCAGGCTGCACCCAGGAAGAGAGAGGGGAAGTTCACATGGCACTGACATGCCAGCCAAGCCACCCGCATGTGGCCTTGCATGTGCTGAGGCTCTGGCTACTCCTTGGTGTGGCCAATGATGGTGAGGATGTACAATTCCCTAATTACACAGTAAGACGAGAAGCTAATCAGGAATTAGAATACTTCTAGAAGCATGTTGGGTATAACATAACATAACATTATATATATATATATATATATATATATATATATATATATATATATATATATATATCCAAGTGAATACTAAATTAGAGAGTTGCACACATACTGTCATCCTGCCTCTGAAACAACTCAGCAAAAGTCCCTCTTCCTAGTAAAGGCAAGAATGCATGCTGGGAAGATAAGCATGTGGCCAATTGCAGGGCAGAGAGAAATCTCTCTCTCTCTCTCTCTCTCTCTCTCTCTCTCTCTCTCTCTCTCTCTCTCTCACACACACACACACACACACACACACACACACACACACCACTACCTACAACCATTATCTCCACATTCCCAAACTTCCATGCCTCACCTTTCCTTCTAATTCTGGAAATGACACATGAAACTAGCCAAAGGCCACTCTTGTCACATGAGTGTATGATGGGAAAGCCAGATAAATGGGCCGAATGCAGGTATGATCTTTGGCTGGAACCACATGGGAAGTGCATGACTCACCAGAGCTAAGATGGTCTCTGCTGACCCTGTCCCCCTCCCACAATGTTACTCCACCTCAAATCAGCCCCACCCATTCTGAGATGCATAGCTGTGCCAGCTGGTCTTTTCTCCTTGCCACTTTTCTCTGTGCTTAACACAAGTCAGAGTAAAAATACCTTCCTGCAAGTTACTCCATGTAAGGAGTGATTCCTTCCCAAACAAATAAACATGGCACAGACAGACTGTGACTACTGAAATGCCCTATTCTTTTAAAAGAAACAAAAAATAGCCCTAACCGGTTTGGCTCAGTGGATAGAGCTACGGACTGAAGGGTCCCAGGTTCGATTCCGGTCAAGGGCATGTACCTTGTTGCGGGCACAGTAGGGGGCGTGCAGGAGGCAGTGATCCATGTTCCTCCCTCTCCCTTCCCCTCTGTAAAAAATCATAAAATATATTTAAAGAATAAAAAAAATCTTTATCAATTTTTATCATGAACACATATAATTCCAGTGCATTAGGATGAGGAGAATGTAAAATATATATATATATATATATATATATATATATATATATATATATATATACCACTTCTTTCATTTGGACTTGATTGATCTTTATCCTGAAAAGTTTGTGTTTGAAATCATCATTACAAATGAACTTAATTTTAGATCTTGTTAACTTAAATTTTTTAATTAACTTAATTTTTTTACAGAGAGGAAGGGAGAGGGATAGAGAGCTAGAAACATCGATGAGAGACATCGATCAGCTGCCTCCCATGCACGCCCCCTACTGGGGATGTGCCCGCAACCAAGGTACATGCCCTTGACCAGAATCGAACCTGGGACCCTTCAGTCCGCAGGCCACGCTCTATCCACTGAGCCAAACCGGTTTTGGCAATAAAATATTTAAAAATAAATAAATAAAAGAAACAAAAATATAGAACTTGAGGGGTCCCAACTATATTGTCTCAAAGAGTGGTTTTCTTAGCATGGAGACTGCGTCCTACCAATTGTGCTGCACAAGTTTACACACTTTCAACAGCATGAAGTTTTTAAGTTAGATCAGAGGTAGGCAGGAAAGCAATTCAAAATGGGCCTCGACTGTTGAGATAATGACAAGGCCCAAGCCAGTCCTCACGCTCGAACCCAGTCTTTCAATACAAGTCACTCCTCAGAGTTAGCAACACACAAAGTTCTCTGGGAGCGGTTGGCTTGAAATAAAATTGAAAAAGCAGTAGACCAAAGGTAAAGAAGACATGGGTCCCAAGGACTCCATGAGAACTCTGCGTTCAGCGATGGCGGTTTCCGCTGCAGTGTGCGCCTCTCCAACCGGCTTCTTCCCCGCGACCCGATTTAGGACCAGCCCGTGGTTGAAACCTGCTTTCCCAGTCAGATTGGAAAAGTTCATTTTGCATCTACTGGGGAAACCTCAAGCTGAGACTCTTAGGATCCTGAAGCCAAGGACCCGGTAGCAAGGAGAGTGTCTGGGTCCCTGGCGTGTGGATCAAATACGAGAGGGCGCCATTAGTTCCCACGAAGGGGTACACCGTTGCCAGCGCACTCAGGGGGTGTGGGTGCCGGAGTTACCTCAGGTGAAGCAGCGGCAGGAGCGCCCCCTAGTGTGGCGCCCGAGCCGGAGGAGGGAGGCGAGGTCTAGGGTGAAGGGAAAGGACCAACTGAAGAACCCAGTGCATCCGTGGAAAACCTGACTCTTCAGAAGCCGGGTGTGGGGGAGTTGAGGGGGGCCCTGATATCCTGAGCATCTCCTCCCTAAATCCCACCGGTTAGCCAGAGCGGCCGGCTAGACCTGGATGTGGCCGCCCTCTCTAGGACCAGAACTGGGGACATTTACCCGGAGCCTCAGAAGCAACTGCGTCTCCGCTCGGGTCACCGCTGAGCTAGCGGATCTGCCGCCGCCGCCTCTTTCCAGCCACCGAGGTCGCTTCGGCAACGCTCTCAGTCACTCACTGAGACTGGCCCGTGAGGCCAGCTGTTGAATGGCACAAGCGTCCCGCAGCAACCAAGTGAGCTACACAAGCTTGCACTCTGATACCCAAGCCTCCGATGCCCTAGGCGGAGCAGCGGACCTGCGCTCGCCCTGGCGCCCCCTCGAGCCTCAATGAGACCTCGGGACCAATGGCAACGGTAAACTAGCCCCGCCCCCTCTTATCCCCCCAAGCCAATCGCGGCCTCTTGAGACCCCGTTCGAGTAGCCCCGCCCCTGTCTAGCGCGGGCCAGAGCCAAACTTTATCTCATGGAGCGGAGCGGTTGTTCCCGGTGAAGGCCAGGCTTTGCTCCAGCTCCCTCATCTCCACCCCACGCAAAAAGTTACAATGACTGGGAGGCTGCAGCATACCTAATCTAGTGACCTCCACAGACCCATTTTCTCTGAATAAATGAATATAGACATCCCTATGTTCGTTGCAGCGTTATTAACAATAGCCAATATTTGGAAGCAGCGAAGTGTCCATCAGTAGATGAGTGAATAAAAAGCTGTGGTACATTTACACAATAAAATACTACTCGGCTATATATATATATATATATATATATATATATATATATGTATATATATATATATATATATATATATATATATATATTTTACATTTTGTGATAGTGTCCGTGGACCTGACGAGTATTACGCTAAATGAAATAAACCGGTTATAGAAAGACAATACCATATGATTTCACTTATATGTGGAATCTAACAAATAAAATAAACAAAAATATATATAAACAGGCCCATAGATGCAGAAAACAAACAGACTGGTAGCTGTCAGAGGGGAGAGGGGTTGAAGGAATTAAAAAAAAAAAAAACCACCTCATAAACACAGAGGCAGCATGGTGATTACAAGAGGGAGAAGGGGGTTAGTGGAGGGAGAAGAGAGTAAAGGGGGATAAACGGTGAGGGAAAAAGAGTTTTGCATGGTAAACACACAATGCAATATATGGATAATGTACTACTAGCATAAAATTGTACACTTAAACCTATATAATTTCATAAACGTCACCCAAACGAATTTTTAAAAATTTAAAAACCACCAAGGTATCACTTCACACCTGACAGAATGGCTATCATCAAGAAATCAACAAACAAGTGTTGATGAGGATGTAGAGAAAAGGAAACCCTCCCGCACTGTTCGTGGGATTGTAAATTGACACAGCAGCTAAGGACAACAGTATTGAGGTTCTTCACAAAAAAAATAACAATAAAAAAGAACATCTATATGAACCCACAATTCACTTCCAGGTATTTATCTGAAGAAATCCAAAACACTAATTTAAAAAGATATATGTTCATTCCAGAGTTACTTACAATGGCCAAGATATGGAATCAACCCAAGTGCCTTTTAATACACAATTAGATAAAGAAGATGTACAGTACCGAGCCCGAGGCGTGGCGGTGCTTCCCGGAGGCGCGGCTGTGGGGTCGTGGGTCCCAGCCGGTGGGCCTACGTCACGGGCCGCGCCGCCATCTTGTCCGGGTCAGGTGACTCTCGCGAGAGCGTGGCCACCAGGCTTGAGGGGGCGGGGCGGCGCCCACGAGGCCTCCTAAGTCGAAAACTATGATTCACACTGTATTTCTGTTGGACAATGCTGCTGTCCATCTTCTGCTGAGGAACACAGAAGCAACATGGCTTTCCTTCGCTCAGACGCCACCTATGGGAAGTGAGCACTTGACTTGTTAAACTAGAAGACTGAACATAATTTCAGCACTAGAATGCAGTCTGCTTGGGCTGCCATAACAAAATACCATAGACTGAATGGCTTAAACAGCAGAAATAACTTTTTCACAGTTTTGGAGACTGGAGATCTGAGATCAGGGTGTCAATGTGGTCCAATTCTGATATTCAGTGAATGGACCTGACTGGACACTTTGAACACATCAATAAACATGAGGGGTACCAAACCTGATATATTGTGGGCACCACACCAGATTGATAGATTTGTTGTATGTGACTCAGAACTGAGCCTTTATCATGTGGAATCTACTGTGAATTCAGAACTCAAAGCTGGATCTTTACATTTATCTGAAGACTCTGCAGTTACTTTATCAATAAATTCAGATACACCTTAAAAAAAAAAAAAGTGATACATATGTAAAATGGAATTTTACTCAGCCATAGAAAAAACTGAAATCTTGCCATTTGTGACAATATGGATGGACCTAGAGGATACTATGCTAATGAGATAAGTCAGACCAAAAAAGACAAATACTATATGATTTCACTTATATGTGGAATCTAGAAAAATAAAATAAACAAACAAGCAAAACAGAAACAAACTTTTAGATACAGAGAACAGTTGATTGTTGCCAGATGTAGGGGGGTTGGAGGGTGAGTGAAAAAGATGGCGGGATTAAGAAGTACAAATTGCCGGGACCCGTTTGGCTCAGTGGATAGAGTGTCAGCCTGCGGACTGAAAGGTCCCGGGTTCGATTCCGGGCAGGGGCATGTACCTTGGTTGCGGGCACATCCCCAGTGTGGGGTGTGCAAGAGGCAGCTGATTGATGATTCTCTCTCATCGATGTTTCTAACTTTCTATCCCTCTCTCTTCATCTCTGTGAAAAATCAATAAAATATATATTTAAAAAAAAGAAGTACAAATTGCCAGTTATATAAATAGTCACGGGGATGTAAAATACAGTACAAGGAATATAGTCAATAATCCTATATAATAAAAGCCTAATATGCAAATTGACCGTCACTCCAACACACGATGGCTGCCCCCAGGTGGTCAAAGATGGCCACCTCCATGTGGACACAAGATGGGCACACAAGATGGCCAGCAGGGGAGGGCAGTTTGAGGCAACCAGGCTTGCAGGGGAGGGCAGTTAGGAGCAATTGGGCTGGCAGGAGAGCAGTTAGACATCATCAGGCTGGCAGGGGAGTGATTAGGGGGTGATCAGGCTGACAGGCGGAAGCAGTTAGGGGCAATCAGGCAGGCAGGCAGGCCGGCAGTTGGGTGCCAGCAGTCCTGGATTGTGAGAGGGATGTCTGACTGGGATTGGGCCTAAACAGGCAGTAGGACATCCCTTGATAGATCCCAGATTGGATAGGGTGCAGGCTGGGCTGAGGGACACCTCCCCCCTTCCCCCAATTGCACAACATGCACCAGGCCTCTAGTATTGTAATAACTATGTATGGAACCAGATGGTTACTGGATTTAACAGGGTGATCACTTTGTAAATTATATAAATATCAAATCACTATGTTGTACATCTGAAACTATACTGAGTGGCCACTCTAAGATATATATATATATATATATATATAAGCCCAGTGCATGAATTCATGCATGGGTAGGGTTCAGCCAGCCTGTCCAGGGGGAGGGGACATGGGCAGTTGGCCAGCCTGCCTGCTGGTCGAACTCCTGGTCAAGGGGACAATTTGCATCTTAGCTTTTTATTATATCATATAGGATATATACTGAGTGGCCAGATTTTATTATGCATTCAGAGATCATAATAATCTGACCAGTCAGTGTAATATAATTTTCTATGTCAACTGTAATTGAAAAAATAATTTTCGAAATATCACTTGGATAGACTCATGCTAACATTTACTAGTTATTAACACTTGGCATAAGGAAAGCAGCTTAGTTTAATGGGGGAAATTTTAAGGTACCTGTACCAAATTCCAGTTTTAAAAGTGTTTTCACTAATTTTGTCATATTTGATCCTCACAGTAACCTGAGTACATATATTGATTTCCATTTTCCAGGGAAGGAAGCTAAGACTTATAATAGGCTAAGCCAGTCCTCAGAATACTCAAATTCCAGCTCTGTCATTAACCTTGGGCAAGTGACCATGCCTCTCGAGCCTCAGTTCTCCAGCAATAAAATCAGATGATTCTCTGTCTATAATTCCTCTGCTCACTGACTGAGATCAAGGCACTGGGGACCTGGGCATTTCCATGGTGGCAGGAAATAATTTGGGCACTATAGGTACTTTTTGGAAAGAGCAAGCTCTCTTGGAATGTCAAAGCAGACAACATGATAACAGTGAATACTTGAAGGAGGAAAATCCAAGAAAGGAAAGAAAGAAACCCTGAACTCCCAACTTACCAATTTCCTAGGTGTTTGAACTAAAATTTCCAACTCATTTGCTTTAATTATTTAAAAATCTTTTTTAAAAAATACATTTTTATGGATTTTATAAAATAAATTTTTATTGTTCATATTATTACAAATGTTTCTTCCCCCCCCCCACCATTGTTCTCCTCCACCAGGTTCCCACCCCACCCTCTGCCCTTTCCCCACTCCCCATTGTCCTCATCCATAGGTGCACAGTTTATGTTCAGTCTCTTCCCACATCCCCCTCTCCCCTTTTCCCCAATAATCGTCAGTTCACTCCCCTTCCATACCTCTGATTCTATTATATTCAACAGTTAATATTGTTCATCAGATTTTTTTTTAATTTCCTTGGTTTTTAGATTAACTTTTTGACAGTTACATATTTGTTGTTCATAATTTTTATCTTTATTTACTTCCTCTTCTGAAAGAACCCCCTTCAGCAATTCATATATAATTCTGGTTTGGTGTTGATGAACTTCTTTAGCTTTTTTTTATTAGTGAAGCTCTTTATCTGACCTTCGATTCTGAGTGATAGCTTTGCTGGATAGATTATCTTTGGCTGTAGGTTCTTACTATTCATCACCTTGAATATTTCTTGCCATTCCCATCTGGCCTGCATGGTTTCTGTTGAGAAGTCAGCTGACAATCGTATAGGTGCTCCTTTATAGATTACTACCTTCTTTGCTCTTGCTGCTTTTAATATTCTGTCTTTGTCTTTTGCTCTTGGAATTTTAATTATGATTTGTCTTGGTGTGGTCCTCTTTGGATTCCTTTTGTTTGGAGTTCTGTGCGCTTCCTGGACTTGTAAGTCTAATTCTTTCACCAGGTGGGGGAAGTTTTCTGTCACTATTTCTTTCAGTATGTTTTCGATATCTTGCTCTCTCTCATCTTCTGGGACCCCCATAATTCTGATGTTGGTTCACTTGAAGTTGTCCCAGAGGTTTCTTACATTATCTGCAATTTTCTGGATTCTCTTGCCTTCTAGCTTCTGCGAAGGGGTGTCTTCTGGCTCTTTATGTTCCAAATCTTTGACTTGATTCTTGCGATCTTCCATTCTGTTTTTAGGACTCTGTATAATATTTTTTTATTTCAGACAATGTATTCTTTATTTCTTGTTGATCCCTTATCATTTCTTGTTGATTCCTTATCAATTCTAGTTGATCTCTTTTCATATCCTCATAGGTCTTATCGATCTTTTCTAGGAAATTCTTGAAAAACCTTATAAGCATAGATTTGAACTCTATTGTATATCTAGTCGCTTTTTGTCCTCCATTTCTTTCATTTGTGATCTATGTTGTTGTCTCATTTCGCAGCTACAGATGGAGCGGAGTTTCAGGGTGGAGCCTACAGGCTTGGCTTCCCTCAGCCCCAACCTATGCGGCTCCTGGATCTCAGGGTCCTTCAGTACTCGTTGCAAGCACCTCTGAGAGAAAGGTGCCCTCGATTTTCGCCTGCTACCAAACAGTGTAGGCTCTCCCCCAATGAGCCCGGAACTGGGGTTCAGTTCAGTTGGAAGTGGAGTTGGAGGTGGCGTTCAGAGCAGTCTGGAGCCCCTGTCTCCTTCCCGCCAGGGCAATCCCTCGGCACAGCCAACCGTCCCTTCTCTGTGTGAAATGTGCACGCCTCCGGGACCTCCTTTTGCCACTCCCCCGGGGTTCTGCCTTACAGCCCAGCTCCCTATGGATGAGCCTGGGTCCCCGGGGTCTGGCCTAGAACTGGGGTTCAGAGCATTCGGAACTGGGGCCCAGCACAGTCAGAGCTTTTATCTCCTTTCTGCTAGGGAATGCCAGCCAGGCTCTCAGCCGCCCTCCTCTCCGGCTCCGTCCTCTCCGCAAGCCGCGTATCTCCGTACCTTAGGCTTTTACAGCTCCTCCGCGCTTCTTTCTGGTTTTTTCCTTGCTTCTCATTGTAGAATTTCCAGTCAGTCAACTTTCCTGAAGTTCTGGGTAATGTCCATTTTATATTTTAGTTGTATTTTATTGAAATTGTTGTGTGCAGCTGCAGCTCGGTGTTTACCTGGGCAGCCATCTTGGATTCTCTCTAAAAAATCTTTTATACACACCTTAATTCAAGTCTGCTTTGACAAATTACTTTATCATGTTCAGACAATAATTACCACAATGAATTACATCAGGAAATATATTGCACGTTCCTGCTTACTCCATACAGCAAATGATAGATAAGAAATTGAAGCCTAAGGAAGTCATTTGGGGGGGGGAAAAAAAAAAAAAAAAAAGAAAATGGATGCATTTTAATACTTTATGAAATTCCAGCAATGACACATTCCTGATTCCCATTAATTCATTTGCTGGAGAAACACTGAAAGGCAGCTAATATCATGCCTGTATTTGCTTAATTTTTTTTTAATGCCTAGTGTAAAAGGAATTTAAGATGCCAGGTGAGAAGTGGTGATCTTTAAACTGGTTGCCAAGAAACTAAAAGCTAATTCCCAAGATGACAGGCCCACTTAATAGTCTGTTCTCCTTGGAATGATTAAAAGTATGTTTAATTGCAATAGAACCATTTTGGCTTA